TTCACCCGTTAGCTGGTGATAGGTGGTGTGGCTGTAGGAATGGGCAGGAGCTAGTAAGAGCAAAATTTGCATGCTGGATTTTGAGCTTAAGCTTTGATTTGATATGGATTTTTACTCCCCAAAAGTTCTTTCATCAAAGAATTTGACAATAAATGAAAACCTAGATTGCTATAACATTTACAGTTAAAAATTTAAAGTTGTTGCTTTCTACTGTAAATATTTTCTTGGAGTGGTATTCTTATGTGACACCACATACATTAAACAGTCAACCTGCACATCATGAGGGATTTTTTAGAGTTCAGATCTTTAAGCTGCTGGATTGAAAACAAAACCAAAATATCATTCCTTCTGTCAGCCATGCATGATGGTTGGTGGGAGAGGTGTGTGGTAAGGTTACAGCTGCTGGATGATAGACGATTCCTCCAATTTGCTTTCCCTCTACCTGATTTGGGAATATCTGTTTGGCAGGACTCTAATGTCTCATATGTTAGGATGGCCTGTTTGTATTACTTTCCTTCCAAGATGCTTAACTTGTATATGTTGAAAGAATCAGATCTTTTATTGGTAACAGAAGGATTAAGTATTGTGCATATGTGCCGCTTTGCGTAAGGCCGCCGTGAGTAAGCCTCTGCTTCGGTTTCTTTATTCTCCTAAAAAAGAATCTGATTCAATAAATAAAAAAATATTTCTGATTACCCATATATTGCTTTTTGCTAGCACATCAGTTAGGTTGTATAAGGAGGCCTCTAGTTTGTGAACTGATTTGGAAGAGTTTCTTTTATTTTTGAATACTGCGTGGTGACCTAGTTAATTGGGAGTAATTACTGTCTAAATATATTGGTTTAACATAACAGAAGACTGTCTGGGAAAAAACAGGGAAGGGAAGGAATGGTTCAAGACAAACCACCTCTTTGCAAACACTTAAGAGTTGTTAAGGGACATCTCCAGAGCTATTAGCAGAGAAGGTTTTAACGTCTCTATCGTAATTTAGCTCCTGAGGCTTGAAACAAAGCAGCAGAGCAAAAGAACTGATCTGAAAAGGAACACTTACTCTGGTTCTGTGGGTAGTATTTTGTTGGAAAAGCGCTTGACACATAAGAGTCATGGGATGCCCTTGGAGAGGAAGGAGAGGGATACCCATGGTTAGAATGGATTTGGTTGACAACATGGAGCTATAACCTTTATTTGCTGCCTTCTCCCCTCTCTTTCTAGAATCTTGCTTTTAAGACTTAAAGTTGAGCACACTTTTGATTTTAAGTAGGCTCACCTGGTCGCTGGGGGGACTTCTGATCGCAGGCTTTTTTCAGGAGTGTGTGCCTAAATCCTGTCAGACCTGCTCTGTAAGTACACAGAGCTCCAAACTGTTGCAGTCCAGGACTGCTCTAAAAATGGAAAAAATTGCTTAATTTAGGAAAAGTAAGGAGGGCCTGACACCTGAAGGGCTTTGTTAAGAAAGATGTGTATGGCCATCCCTGTAATTAGGAGAGATCAGTCATGTAAATTACAGTGGCTGGATTTGGCACACTCATCTTCGTTTCGAAGTTGTTTGGTTTATAATAGTAATTTATCTCATATGGCAGAGAGCAGAGGGGTAGTGTGATGCAAGTCACACCTAGAGGGAGTAAAATAAAGCAAGCGTGGATGTGTAAGCAGAAGCCTTTAGATAACCCCCCTCCTCTCTTCATTCCTTGCCCTGAAGTATCTGCAGTTGGTGCTACGCAATTACAGCTGCGGCACAAAGGTAAAGACCTAAAAAAAAAAAATTTTAAAAATTACGTGAGTGTGTATTTATTAAAAAAAAAAACCCACATATTTCAGAGCCTTGAGTGTGTTAGATCTTGAAGCCATTTCTCTCTGAATGCTTGCTTTTGCTTGTGAAGTCCACTGATGTTATGCCTATAGTAGAAAGGCAGAGGAGAGCGGCAGGATGTACTACTTCATCTCAATAACCTGCAAATAATGAAGTTGCAAATGGCACTTATTTTCCCCAAGCAAAGTACTGCATTCAGACTGATACTTGGGGGGTTTTGGGGGTAGGGAAGGAGCTGGGTGGCACTGTCTCTTGGAAGGAGTGAGTGGAAACAAAGCTAGCAGTGATATGTTGCTGCTTGTGTAAGCAGAGAACATGACTAAAATGTGAGTGCTGTGGGTATCTCTTGCAGCAGAGCAGTGCCGTATGGCCTTTCAGTGGCTATCTCCTAGGGTTGTCTGTGTCAAAGAACTTGAACTTAACTCAATTTGCTTTGTCATCCTGACTTTGGCTCTTGCCACTTTCAATTTCTCTTTAGTTTCTGGAAGCTTCTTTTTAATTCTCTAGTGGAACGGCCAAAATCTATCCAAACATGCAAAAGGGCTCACCTCAAACAAAACCCGCTGCACATTGATCAAAACAGTGGGAGCAGGAAGGTTGGTTTGCAAATATCTGATCACAAAAGGGGTGGCAAATCTGTTTTTCAGCATGTGTTCTTCTTTAGTTAGTTTTTAACTAAATGCTGCAGAGGCCTGGAGTTGTTTCCCAATGGCAAAGCAAGCAATGAAATATGACACAGGGAGGGGAAGAGACTTGGCAGAGGGCCTATGTGCACAAATAGCCCACTACCTTTAGAAGTGTATTTACAGCCAAGCAAACAAAACACAGTGCAGGCTGCCTTACAAAGAATTACAGTAGAAATCTTCCCCTTGGTCTTTTTTTTTTTCCCCCCCTTCTCAATGTTGATAAAACGTCATTACTACTGATTCCAGAATCACAACTCGCAAGATGTTGTGGTATGTCTGAAAATCTATTTAGTAGTGGATTAGGAAGAGAAAGAGCTGTATTGCTGTCTTTTGTAGCTCTTAGAATACCTTTTGCCTTAGATTGCTGTAATACAGGAAGAAATACTAGTGAAAACTAAACTCTAGATCATAGTGTTAGCTGGTTGAGCGAACAGGAGTCTCTTGGCACAGCCCTGTTGCGAGTTATGTAAATCTTGTGCAGTGTATAAGCAACAGGCGGTTGGTGACGTAAAACTGAGCATTTGTCTCTATTTATTGGCTAATGTGACATGCACCCTTCCTGTAGCATTTGACTGAGCTGGCTGTATTAAATATAGCCCTGACGCTCCTAAGTAGAAAATGCCTCGAGCTGAATAATGGCTTCTGGTCTGAAATTCATTGTTCTAAACGTGGAAGTCTTAAATGGTGGCTTTTTTGTCTCCCCGTCGTATCAAAGTCCGTTCCGTGTTGATGGCGAAAGGTCTCGCTGTAAGCCTCGGTTTGCTGAACTTGCCAATCGATTACCATGGCCGTGTTGTGCAGAACATTCCTCCAGTGCCTCCTAATGCATTGGCTGTGCTCTGGGAGACTTAGCAGGATGTCAGCAACTCCTGCGGCGATTATCTTCTGTTGCTCGTGGTGGATTACCAAACTGATACATCTGTTGTTTAGGTCCTCTCCCACCCGCTACCATTGCGAGTGGCTCGCAGAGCTGCCCAATACTGCCATTACCTACTTTGACCCAAGCTCCTGTGCTATCAGCTACTACACTTTGGGTCCTCAATGTTTTCTGTGAGAAGGCAATGATACTTCTCACATGCAGTTCTGATTTTATCCAGAATGTCAGACTTTATTTTTTTTCCTTGAGCACTGTAGGGATTGAACAGGAGGCAGTTTCTTTGCTCACCGTTTTGAGCCTCTTTCCAGCTGGCAAGCAGTCCAGAAAGCCCTATGTTTGCTCTTTCTCAGGGTCATGCTGCAAATGTTTTTCTTGCTTTCACCTTGGCTTCCTGGCTTTGGTTTAGACACATGACACTCCACCACACAATACAAACCCTCAATACATCACTGTGCCCATATAGTGCAGCTTCTGACTCGCCTTCTGCATGGCTTTGTTTTAGGTGGTGATTCCTAGTTCTTGAAGTTGTTGCTTTTTTTTTTCTTTTTCTATCCTGATCAAAAAAGCAACACAGATTTTTGTAATCATTAATAAAAAGCAGTTGTGCCCATTGCTTTTGGTGAGACTTTACTCATCTCCATTCTCAGAGCAGCTACTCACAATATGTAAATTAGGGCCACAACCTCACAGACATGCGTAAACAGAGGAATTACATGACTTGCCAAACACTTACATAATAACTTAATAGTATATCGTGGAATGGCAGTTAAGACTCATGAATCCTCTTCCTGTTTGACTGCTCCTCTTTTCAAATTAATTATCATATGAGTTTCAGCTACACCACGACTTGGGAATCAATAGCATTTGTGGCTTTCTGAACATCCTTAATATATCACAGGCTTCCATGGTCATTTGTCTTTATTCAGTAAGAACTTTTGACTCAGATGGTTTGTACGTTCCTTTGAGCTGTGACTATCCAGAGCTGAGCAGGCACTTTAATGACTAATAAATAGTCTTAGAGTACTCATGGCTCATACATGACCATATGTTTCAAAAGCAGCAAGGCTTGAGTTATTATCCGTAGCTACTGATGCCCTTTGGCCCTGAGAGTTATCATGAGAGCATTCTTTCTGTTGTGTTCATCTTGTGCTGCTTTGGACCTTTTGTGCCAAAATAAAATGGAGAGGTTCAGTACTTTTGAAATCAGTTCTGTAAACAAGGCTGATATAAAGAAACTGCTCTGTTGTTTACATGCTGCTGTGTAGCCCTTCCCTCAGTATCTCTTGAACTTTTCAGCAAATTTCATAAAGAGCTAATGGGGTAGAGGTCTCCAAGACTGAAGTTCCAAGACTTCCAGTGAAATTAAGAAGCAGAGCAGAAAAGTGGTCTAAAGTAGTGTCGCTGGCAAGTAAGATGCTATATTTTGAGCTCTTATCTTGGAGAATCCATGTGTGAGAGAGAGAAAAGCTTTTTAAAAATGTGAGCAGCAGAGCTAATCTAGTCTGGATAATATTTTTGCTTAACTGTTTAGGATGACATACATTAACCTATGAAAAGGACCTGAGCCACTGTAATTTAGGTTATAATCTGTTTTTTTTGTGTTTTTTGTGGGTTTTTTGCTTTCCAGGAATCTACAAGCTGCCATTGGAGCCTACTATGATTTCGAGAGTCCAAATATCAATGTACCCTCCATGTCCTTTGTTGAAGATGTCACCATAGGTGAAGGAGAGTCCATCCCTCCTGATACCCAGTTTACAAAAACATGGAGGATACAAAACACAGGTAAGGCTTTTATACTGTAGCAAACCCTTGTAGCATGTATCATGTGATGGGATGGCAGGTCGAATGGAAGAGATGCCGGCTAAAGGCAGGAGGTTTGTGTGCGCTTATCTTTAAATGGAGCCACCCTGTTACTGAAGGAGGTAGCCTGCCAACCTATGCAGAGTCCCCTTCTTATGTTGGCACAAACATTTTGTGGCTAGATGTGCAGCTCGGTCAGTTCCTCAGTCTTGTTCCTTGTGCCACCACAGAAACAAAAGCTCTAGGAAACCTCTATAGGAAGAGGCAGGTGAAAGAAATTGAAGTGCAAAGGTTTGGGGTTTTTTGTTGTTTTGTTTTGTGGGTTTTTTGTGTGTTTTTATGAAAGTAGTTAGATCGCAAAATAGATTAAGAATCCTTAGCTAGTCATGCTTCTGATCACTTGATGCAAACAAGTGGAATAAATTTTTAAGTCAATGAAGAGATTCCTCCTAATATTTAGGAATCATTAATCTTTAGGTCATGAGCCTTTTAGCTTATGACCAGCCTGTATACTGCCACCACCCTTCATCACACATGATTTTTCTGACCGTCTCCTGTTGTTTGGTCGTTGGGGTCTCTGTCCACATCACTCTGTGGACGCAGTGATGCAGTGATCTAAAGAGGTAGCTATGCAAGGGTAATGTGACAGGTACCCTTTACTTTTTAATACACTTTTGGCAGAACTGCTTTTTCATGCTTTGAGAGGATTCAAGGCTGGAGAGATCACATTCCAGTATGAAATAAGTCAAAACAGTGACAGGAATCCAGGAAGTGAGACTGGGCAAAATACATTCTCAGTGCTTCATCTGTTGGGATGCAGTCAGAGAAAAACGAGATCCATGGATGCAAGGGGAATACCTTGTCTTCGAGTGTTGTAATGACAGGATGTTGCATGAATGTTTAAGCTGTGTGTCTGAATTTAATTGACCTGCTTGCACTTTTGTGAAGAAGAATGATAGCACAACAAGGTATAATATCATCAATCATCGTGAGTAAAGTTCAACTGTGTTAGTATTTCTCCTTGTAAACTGCAGTACTTGAGTGCTGTACAGGTTTGTGCTGAATACCGAAGTATAACACAGACTAAAACCATACTAAAAATCTGGGAGTATTTCATCAGGACATGAGTGGTGAGAAGGGGGGGGGGGGGGGGGGGGGAACACTAATTTATAAAGACTGTATTCTAGAGAAAGGGCTTAATTATTTCAGTTTACTTTTTCTGGGTCTATTTGTTTGACTTAATACAATGAAAAGGTGACTCATTGTAGCTTGCTTAAACTCTGGTAATGTGAAAAATTGACTGGCTGGGTTTTTTTGTAACTGTGTCTCAAATACAAGTCTTACAAATGCTGTAAGTTTGACAGATCTTGTTTCTCCACTGTTAGTATCTTAATTTGTGTGTGTTATGACTACACCCCTATCTTGCTCCTTTCAGACTCCTTCCTCCCTTTTTTCCTCTGATGTGCTCTTTCCTGCATGCAAATTCAGCCTTAATTTAACATCCTAGTTCAAGCAAGGTTTCATTGTTCTTGGAATGTTTGACCTTCTGAAATCCATGGACCTTCTAAAATGAGGGAAGGGAGTTAATCTTGACTTACGAGTTCCTGGCAAGGCCAACATTTGTTTTGGCTTCTGTGCGGGTTAAAGCCTTACTTAAAAAGTGCATCTGTACTCCAACGGTGGTGCTGGAGGCCAGATCTTGTTAAAACCATGCTGTTGAGGCATGTTTTAGTTAAATGCAACTTCACATACTGTGTTATGACTGTGCGGCTTAAGGAGGACCATAGCATTTTAAAACCATTTTATGGTGTAATTAAGGAATAATATCAAAGGACTATAGTGTTTCTAGATAATATCTGCTTGTTAGGTAGATAACTGAAGCAAAGCCAAGGTTTTTAAGAGCTCTACAGGAACCCTTGATTAAATGACTTCAGTTCTAGAACATGAAATACCTGAGGCATGTGTCAACCAAAGCGTTTAGTGTCTTGACGAGTGTGATGAGCAGAGCTGTGAGAGATTGTCAGTTTTAAGTGTGCAAGCAGTAAGCTAGGTTCAGTCAGGTTTTCATATGTGTTATTAAAAGCTAATATCTTACTCTGATATCTTCCAGGATGGTGCTTGGCTTGTCTGCCAAAAGACCAGTTTGTATAGTAGAACCATTGCTGAAAGAGCAGCAGGATTTAACAGACTTATTTCCTCTTCCCACTCTACCCCCAGCTGCTGCTGGCTCTGCAGGACAGTTACTACAATTTATCATCTCCTGAGAGATGAGTGTACTGAAATAGAATGACATAATCATCATTTCATTTTATGGGGTTTATCAGTTGCAGAATTCTAGGCACCTTGCAAGTCTAAAGCCATTAAAACCGATAAAAATCACATAAATTATTTAAACTGAACCATGTCGCTGGGCTGCCAACCTTTTCAGATGAGACTTCATACTCAACTCCCACGCGCCATAGTCTGAGGTCAGCTACTCACTGAGGTCCTCTTTCAAAGACCTCCCTATCTCAGCGCTGTTTCCAAATGTAGTAATACATCCCCCACTCTGAATATTCCACATAACTTGTTCACAGCATGCTTTCCCTGCTAGATTGTGAATTCCATGAATAAGGACTTGACTAGAAAACCAGTCCCTGCCCTGTCTTCACTGAAGTATCCGCAGGGATTAAATTAGCAGGCAAGCTGTTGCAAAGGATGCTCTTTGGGGTAACCTAAGGTTAGATCAGCACCCACCATTCTCATCTCAGACTAGGCATAGAGTGGTTCCAAGCTTCTTGGTGGGTCAGGCTTTCTTTAGCTGGTTCCATCGACCTTAACCAAGCAGAAGGCATTCTTAAAGTCATTGGCTTAGTCATATCACATTATTGGGGAAGAAGCAAAAGAAAATTCTGCTAAGCTGATTTTTCACAAGTCTCGGAAGCACTTTTCTTTTTGTCAGTCCCAGTACTTGTTATCTTTGGTGGAGATGGCTGTGCCTGCATGCAGGAACTGTTTTCTGTATCTCTACAGATTGCCAGGTCACGCTGTCAGTCCCAGTGTCTGCAGTCTAAAAATTGATCTCCACAAATAAATCGTATGTTCACAATCCTTTCCACCTTTGCACAAGGCTGAGAGAAGGCTTGGTGCAAGAAGGGAAATAAATCCATTTAGAAAATAGTACGAGCTCTTCAATTGTAGTTCCAACTATTAGTTCCTCCTGAGACTGCTAATAGGCTTAAAAAAGAACGAATCCCCGAAAGAAAATGCTTCCAGCACTTTGTATTATTAACATGTATTTTGATGTCACAAGGCTCAAGAGCTATATGTAGGGAGGCAGAAAGAAATGGGGGGGAGGGAGCCCACCTAGGCCTGACCTCATCTTTGTCTCTAGCATTGGTAAAATATATGTGCATGTCAGTTACGTTGATTTTTTTGCAGCTGCACACTGTGACACTGAGAAGTTTTCTGTGTAAAGAAGACCTAGAGATTATTCAAACAGAACTATAAGTTGTCCTGCTGGTCTCAGAATGGACCAGTTAAGCCCTGTCTCAAAACTGTGTTCTTCTTCAGCATCCATTGCTGGCCGTGTTGTGTATCTTGGTATTCCTTTGACTGTTCAACAATTGCACAACTGTTTCAATAAGCATGTTTCATCCAGTCTTGTATAAACAGACACAAAGCTTTTCCTGGTGCACTGTCAGTAATTCTTTCTTCTGTTTAATCCCAGGGACAGAGGCGTGGCCCCCGGGGGTTTGTCTGAAGTATGTCGGGGGAGACCAATTTGGCCACGTAAACATGGTGATGGTCAGGTCCCTGGAGCCGCAGGAGATTGCAGACGTCAGCGTTCAGATGTGCAGCCCCAGAAAAATCAGGGACAGTGGCGAATGGGCACTGCCACGGGACTTTATTACGGAGGTGAGTGATCCCTCTTCCAGCACTTCAGGCTCCTCTTCGTGATATTCCCACCGCAGACAAAATGGATGTTCCTGGCCCCTTGCAGACGCTCTCCTGATAAGGTGGTGAAGGTAGAGGTCTGCCAGCTCTGAGACTAAATATAGAAAATAGAATAGAGAAAACATCAAGTGAGCTGTTTTGTTGTCTTGGTCAGCACAGAACTGTTTTCTAAACACTGGAACAAATTGCAGATTACACAAAGCTCTGAAAAACAAAGGAACTTGCACAGTTCTCCTGGAGACTCTTTCCCAGGCAGTCCTTGTCGGGATCCTTTTCCAGTTTTCCAGTGTGAACATCGTGAACTACATACAAGCATAAAATCTATTTAAGTGCTGAAAACCTCATCTGAGAAGTTAAAGCCTGGGTTTTAATACAGTAGTTCGGTGCATCTACTGTGAACCATTCGTCTGTGTTTAAAAACCACTTTTTGATATTTTGCCTGGTACCTCAGCCTGTGCCACCAACATCGTCATTTGGAGTCTCTCAGTCATTTTTAGCCAGCTTTAGTTTATACTGAGAACATCTTTGTGTCTGTTTTGGCAGTTGGGAGTATCCCGAGTGCATGGGTTTGAGTGAGAGATGTTAGCACTCGGAGTCAGAAATAACTCTGTGCTCAGAAGTGCACAGTTTTTGGCAGAATTGTCAGTAAACGCACAACTCTGGCGTCGAAAGTGGATGTAGCTTGTCCCTGGAGAAAGGGCATGAATTCCTCCGCGCAGGTTGACAGGCCTGATTTGGGTTTGTTTCCCCTGCCACAGGCCTCTCTGTTTATAAAGCCGAGGTTTTCCCAGCTGCTGACAGTTTAAGATCTTGCCAAACTTCCTGAAGTTGCACATTTTGAAAGAAAACGATCTACAGATTAAAATCCCTTTGGCTACCGAGCTTTGAGTCAAAGATGCCCTTCCCCTGCGAGATAATTAATGGCTCTTATGCTAGTTATCCCCCCCCAGAGGTTAGGCCCGACAGCTGTGTGAGGGCCTGGCAAGCGGCCGGGGCTGTCACGCGGTGGTTTTTCATCCCGGCACGGCTCTGGTAGCACCGGGGCTACTGGGGCGAGTGGCCAGGCCAGGCCAGGCCAGGCC